CTCTCAGCGCCTGCAGCCAGCCGAGCGCTCGCCCGCCCTCGCTAGCCCGCGAGGAGACGAGGGCCCAGCCTCCTTCCCACCCACCGCCACCCCACACCGCCTCCCTCCCCGGGGCCGCGCACCCTCCCAGCACAGCCCCGGAGAAGGGAAAGGCTGGGCCAAGGGGCCTCACCCGTGACACCAACATTCATTCATTCATTCATTCATCCACCTATTCATCCATTCCGCATATATTGAGCATCTTTGGACTGGACCAGGTACAGCTATTCAGCCAGAACAGGACTGCTTTTCGGATTTCCCAGAACTTACAGTCACCTGGAGAGACATCATAAACAATCAAATAAAAAATGAGGTAATTTTAGAAAGTTGTAATTACTATGGTAGAGGGGAATATATGTGCTGGGAGTGGGGTGGGGTGATAATCTTAGCTGGAGCAGCTAGGAAAGGCCTTTCGAGGAGGAGGAGGGACCATCAGGATTACAGGAAGTGCCGCCAGTGAGAGAGATTCGGGGGTCTCCTCCTAGGTTCTACCCATTTTACAGATGAGGAAACCAAGGTCCCGAAAGCTTCTCTGCCTTACTGAAAGTAAGTTGCATATCCTCCTCTGCCCACAGGCCTTTTCAGTCTCCTCCACAGTCAGCTGTCTTAAACACACACAGTGAATTTCAGAGGAACAAGGTGAAGCTTAAGGAAGTTCTGTGCAAGGGGTGGCACCTACTTACATGAAAATGTATTCCTTCCCTCGCTGAAAGTCCACTTTCATGGAGTGTCATGGTATTTTTGTTTGTGGAATCTGCCAACCTTAAACTGATCCCGTGTGCCCAGCTCTTCCTTCCTTATCTCATTTAAACCCCAGAAGAGACTCCGCGGTAGCTGGTGCTGCTAGCGCATCCCATTTTATGGGCCAGTGCAAAGCCAATAGAGGCCAAAAGTAGCCTGCTAGGAATGAATTGGGGGGTAGGGCGGGCTGCAAAGCCCTTGCATTTATTTATGTAGATTCTAGAGTTGGAAACCAGGCCCTCACATATGCTCAGCCACTGAGCCACATCCCCAGCCCTGGCGTTGCTCTTAAGACGCTGTCTAGACTGTGGGGCTGGTTGACCGTTTCCGGGAAGCCGGTAGACGTGAAGTTCCTGGGCTCTGCATTTGCTTCAGCCCCTTTCTAAGGCCCTGATGGGAGCCATTGTTCAGGGAGTGACATTTATCCGCCATCTGCTTTTGACATGGGGCTGCAGTCAGTAAAGATTGCTCCTTCTGCTGCGATTCCCCGCTTGCCCTTGAGGAGGGAAGGGAGGTGGCCGCCCGGCATTTTGAGGCTCACCTGAGGGGGCGCTGAGTTGGGAATGTTGTGATGTTTGCGTACTTTTTCAGCTTCATGAAGTCTGTATTTGTTGTGATTTCTTTTATTAACTTAAGGCGTCATGTTTTATATCTACTTTTGGACTCCTTATAATTTTGTACTCTTTTTCTTAAGGAGGGGTCTAAAATTGTGTTAGTATCAGGCCCCACCATCCCCGGCCCCATCTCTGGTCCTGGCTTACTCTGTCCCCCTCAGGCCAGAGCAAATGTACTCAATAAGCATGATTTGTCCTTCCAGGAGCAGGCCAGGGTTAGGCCTGCTGCTCCAGGCATGAGGACTGCAGCTCTTCTGCCTTCTAGAAGCGAACTGTGTGTGTGCTTGCTTTGATTTTCTCTTCTCATGAGCTTAGATAACAGTGCCCATTGTATTATTACTGTGAGGATTTACTGAGCTTGCGCTCGTGTTACTCTTCTGTGACTGCGGCTGGTGCTCGCAATGGCTCAGCATGGATTACTGCTGTGCACGCAACTTCACCCTGCATAGCATCTTTTCAGAGAGCCCAGCTGCTGGAATGAGCAGCTCCATGTTCTCCAGAGGTGTTTAGTTGGCCTTGACCCCTGAACCCATATACACGTGTGTGTGTGTGTGTGTGTGTGTGTGTGTGTGTGTGTGTGTTTAAGGAGTAGACTGGAATAGACTGGCACCTCCCTACGTGAGAGTTCTGTATCCTCAAATTCAACCAACTTTAGATCAAAAATATTTGGGAAAAGATTTTTTTCTGTGATGAGTACCTGTGACATTTTTCCATGTCACGCATGATTCCCTAAAGGATAGAGTGTAATTACAAGCATTCATTTACATTTTATTTGGCATTGTGAGGCATCCGGAGATGACCTGAAGCATCTGAGGGATGCACATAGGTTTTATGCAAATACTAAGTTATTTTACAAAGGGACTGGAGCATGGGCAGCTCCAGGGGGCTCCTGGGAGGTCCTGGAATGAGGATGACTGGATCTGTACCTGTACACTTACCCTCTCTCTCTCTCTCTCTCTCTCACACACACACACACACACACACACACACACACACACACATGAGCCTATACTAGCAGGACAGGAAGAGTGTTTGCATCTGTGGATCATGGCAGGACATGTTGAACACTTAATGACTAGGGGTGCCCTATGGAATGCAAAGGGTTAATCTACTTCCTTCAAATCATTTTACTCCATCACCAGAATCTGTCCCATTATCTCATAAATTGCAGCCCTACCCTGTCCCCCCTGAGAGCAAAGCAGGAGACAGGTGCTTATTAATTTTATTTTTCCTTCTCTCAGGGCAGCGGTTCTCAACCCCCATGCACATTAGCGTCTCCAGGGGAGATTTTAAAAATCCCCGTGCTGAGGCCCCACCTCGCACCAATTAGGCCAGGCTCTCTGGAGATAGGACTGTGGCATTAGCATTGTTCAGAGCTCTTGTGTGGTGCCATAGTAAGGCAGAGGCCAGAATCCCCATCGCTTTTCTTGTTTGTTTGTTTGTTTGTTTTGTTTTGTTTTTTCTTTTCAGTACTGAGGATCGAACCCAGGCACTTTGTGGTGAGCTACATCCTTAGCCCTTTTTTATTTTTTTTTTATTTTGAGACAAGATCTTGCTAAGTCACAAAATTGCACAGGCTGGGCTTGGACTTGACATCCTCCTGCCTCAGCATCCCAGAGTGCTGGGATTACAGATGAAGACAGTCTGTTGAGAGAGTAAGAGTCACAGCAGATGAGCAGAAGCTGAACTAGGATGGAAAGCCCCAATTCGTATTCAAGGACATGGAAAATTCAGCCACCTTCCCCTATAGGAGGGCCCTTTCTGTTCCTTTATCCTGGTTTCTCTTTGGTAAGTATTTATCCTCATTTTATAATAACACATAAAAAAATCCCAAACAAACTTTGGAAGTGCTAAGCCATAAAGCAGATTCTTTAGGGTGGAAACCATAGCGTGTCTACCCTGGAGTAAAACACATTCTCCCCGTCCACCCCGAATCTTCTCAGTAAATGGACTCCAACGCCAAGAGGCCATATTAACTTTGAAAACCATGAATTTCACAATGTATTCAGCGTGTATAGATAGCCCACAGACAGACATGTATAGTCTCCATGCAAAATCACCTCTCATTTCTATACATGTTCCTTTCCCATCTGCAAAGATCTCCTCTACAAAAAAAGTACTCCATTTTAAAATGCATTTATTTAAACCTTGACTCTTTCAAAAATGGTTTGAGGCAGAACCTAAAAACATGTATGGCAGCAGAATAAAGAAAAGCTGACAGAGAAAAATAGGAATGAAAAGAAAGTCAAGGACAGGGTGGATACACAAAGTGTGGACTGGAGGTCTTGCCGGTCGTGGACCAATAATTAGATGCTGAGCTTCCTGGCAGCCATTGCAAAGAGGGAAATGAATCAATTACAATATCAAGGGGTATTCACACTTTCTTTATTCAAAAGTAAGCATGCATAGAAATACAATATGAAAAAAGAGATAAAAAACGGCAGCTATAGATTCATACTTCACCCCTTTCTCTTGTAAGTACTTGTGAAGGGTCTTAAAGGAATCCCCCAAAGTGTTGTAGAATCAGCAAGGAAAGCCATGAATTTCAAAGCATTTCATTGTGTTCATGATTCACGATGCTAAGGTTCTGAGTTTAAATCTTGGTACCAAAAGAAAAAGAAGGGGCTGGGGATTTAGCTCAGCGGCAAAAGTGCCTGCCTGGCAAGCACAAGGTCGTGAGTTTGGTTCCTGGTACCGGAGAAAAACAAACAAAAAAAAGAGAAAGTAACTGGAAAAGGAAGAGGGTAAGAGATTTCAGAGGAGGTATAAAAAGTGACAAAAGACAAAAGAAAAAGAAGATTCACAGTGCCTCCAAGCTACTTGGCAAATCAAAGCTTTACCCGATACAGATAGTAGAGAGAGGTTTCCCCCGTGTTCTTAAAAAGTGGCAATCTGTGACACGGAGCATAGGTGTGGGGGGATGCTTTCCACAAACTTGAAATAGTACAAAAGTACCCACCAGCCCCTCTCCTCAAGAGAGAAATTTCACATCTTCCCTAACTCCAGACAAGTATAGGCATACGCCAAGCCTCTAAACTAAACAACGGTTGCAAACAGACTCCCAGTAGAATGTCTTTCTTTTAACCTCAAATTTCATAGAAGGCATGCTTCTCACCATTATTAGAAAAAAACCTTTAACAATAATTTTTAAAGGAAAATAACAAAAATAGCAACAAAAAGAAAAAGATTCAGACTTGTACCCCCAAAATGTCATTCAGTGCTTCTCTCAAAATAACACAAGAGAAAACTGGCAGTTCAACCACAGTAAGGGCATATCAGGGCCACATTTTGAAAAGTGCAAAGAAGCAGCAGGAGCGACTCACTGTTGGATGTGGCGGTGACGCTGAGATACCATATGCAAACTTGCTGTTCATTGAAAACTTGAGTGGTTCTAGTGATCAGAAAGTCATGTTTTAAGCATTTTCCATCCTGCAGCTTAAATGTGTCCTCTCCAAAATTCAGGTGTGGCAACTTAACGTCCAGTATCGTGGTAATAAGAGGTGAGGTCTTTAAGAGATAAGTAGGTCATGAGGGCTTCTCCCTTGCAAATGGGATTAAGGCTCTTATAAAAGATGTTTGCTCACTCCTCTGTCTCCACCATGTGAGAACACAACAGTCCTTCCTGCTGAGGAGACAGCAACCCGGTGCCACCTTGGAAGCAGAGAAAAGCCTTCTCCATACAACGAAGCCTTCCAGAGCCTTGATCTTGGCTCCAGAACTGTGAGGAAATTTCTTTTTTTTTTCTTAATAAAATACCAGTCTCAGGTATTTTGTTATAGCAAATCAAATGGACTAAGACAACACTTTAAGTGTTTAGTTTCATTTTGTGAAACTGAGGACTTGAGTTAACATGTCATGCGTTATGATTTTTTCCTATCTAATATGATGGGAAGTGAACCAGAGTTGGTTCCCAAGGTGGTACTGTTGGCAGGTGGTGGAATCGTTAGGGAGGGGTGGCACCTACTGGGAGGTCCTTAGGTCACTGGGGCTGGGACGGTAGGACCCCAGTCTCCTTCGTGTCTCTCACTGTTTCCTGGCTAATAAGGTGAGCCATTTGCTGTGGCACACACTCCTGTTAGGATGTGCTTTTGTCACCAGAGACCTAGAACAAAGTGCTAATCCCTGGACCCTCCAGAACCATTAGCCAAAATAAACCTTTGCTCTGTAGTTAATTGCCTCAGGTATTTCACTGTAGTGAGGAAAAGTTGACAAATACTAGTTTCACTCAGCTCTTTCCATTAGGCTGGGGACAGGCTGACTTTCTAATAGTAGCCCCAAGAATTTCTACCCCTCATTTCCTTGCCATTTCCTGCGAAGACCTCTCTTTTTTTTTTCCAGAGACAAAAAGCAAGCAGAATGACAAAATTCTGGCTTCTTAATACAACAGACTTGTCTTTTCTCTTTGCTTTTCTCTGAATAGAGTATGTTTGTTGGTGAGCCCGGACAGGCTGCAGAGGTTCCCAGAGTCGCCCCACACGTTCTATGATGGAAGAGTCTGTGGTCCTGAGGTTGGAGAGACCTCAGGGTTAGAAGCTCAGACACCTTTCGAGAAGAGGACTCTTCTGAGAGCAAAAGAGGCTTTTGTGACAATGGCACATACACCAAGAGTGTCCCCAGCACAGTGGGACAGTTGTCCTTGCCACTTTAGTTGGACTGCTCAGATCTCTCCTAAGTACCAAAGACATGCAACGGATGATCACCCATCAAATGAGAGGCAGATGCCAACTTTCGTGCTCAGACCTGGGCATAGCTCTTCCTCTCCCTCTGGAGCAGAACTCCAGGTGGTGCTCTGGCCCAAGTGGCTGGTTGTTGTGCCACCTCCATGCCGTAAAAGACGGATAGTACATAGGGTCCATATTCAGGTGGATAGTGTGTAGGGTCCATATTCAGGTGGATAGTACGTAGGGTCCAGCATGGCTACTGTGAGTGCTCTCCCTGTCTCATGTCCACAGCTCTTGCTCTTCAGGAATCTCTGAAATGCCGTGCCGTGGGCCTCTTCAGCGGGCCGGTGACATTTAAGGATCTCTTCTTGGAATAGTGCCTCTGCCTGCACAAAAATGCACAGATGGCACACATGGTGTCGGAAAATTGAATACGGATAGGAAAAAATTAACGTATACTCCAACCTCACATCATGCACAATGGTACCTAGGAGATTTTAATTAGCCCGGAGTGGATCGCAGATTTAAATCACAACAATAAGATCCTGAAACCATCCGATGTCCAGAAGAAAACATAAGGAAAAAAATCCCTGCAACCCGGGGTCTGGGAAAGATTTTTTAGAGCACAAAAAGCACAAACCGTGAAGGAAAACATCGATAAGTTGAACTTCATCACACTCCTAAATGAAATAAATCAGACACGTATGTATAAACATTGCACTGTCTCTCTGGTGTGAGAGACTGAAAGAGTAACTAAGAACCAAAATGTATAGTAGTTATTGTGAAATAAAAAGTAATTGTTTAAAGGGAAAGGGGAAGAGGGATGGAAGAGAGGGAGGGAAATGGGAAAAAGATATGTACAGGTACTAAGATATGTACAGGTACCAGTTCCCATGATAAATGTGATCACTATACTTATCTAAATTATACCAATAATTAAGTTAAAAAATATATAATGCAACTGTATATTTGTAGAAATATATACTCTTTAATATAAAATAAAAAAATTTACTAGGGTAGCAGAAACATTGGACAGCTGGAGTACTTAGAAAGAACATCCAGGTTATCAAACTTAGAAACATAGTTGAAAGTGTTTCAGGACATTTAAATGCTAAAGGTTTGAAAGCTAAGTTTATAAATGGTACCAAATGTTAAACAGTGATTTTCTTAAAAACAAGGAGTGAGTTTTTGTTACACTAGTCCTTTAAATAGAACAAGTGATTTTAAAAGGGAACTGAAAAACTCAAGGGAAAAACTAGGTTTGGTAAATTGCAACTTTAGTAATTCAAAATTATTTCCTAGAACTTGTGTGCAGCTGATTCTGCAGACCAAATCGACTCAGACTCACACAGCACAGCATGGGTGATTGGAAATGGAACGGCCACAGGAATCCCAGGATCCTTCTGTCCTGTGTTTATTTTTGACCTAAGTAGCCTAGGCATCCATCCCTCCTGTCCCCTGTTTGGGCCACTGCCATTGAGGAATTAGCCACAAACACAAGAAAATTCTTTTCAGTGACCTAAGGAAGAGAGAGGTCACTGGTTACACTGGACTTAGGAACAAATTTAAAATACTAAACCACTTAATTTTTCAAAACAGAAGAATCTAAACAAATGCTCCACTGGTGAATAAATGAACATTCCTTGCCAAAACCCCAGTTGGTTTGGAAAGCATTTTTTTCCAGGTTGCTTCGGCAGAGCTGAGTTCCTTGGCCTGCCCTCTCCGACAGTGAAGAAAAATCCCAAGGGGTAAAAAATAGCTGCATAATAGCATTTTTAACAACCTGCGAGATTAATGGCGGTTACATACCAACGTGCAAACGTCTTCCACATAGGCGTGGTGGAGAGATCAGATAAAGTAGTTGTATTAGTGATCTTCCCAATATGAACGATTGCTTCTTTTTCCTATTATTCTTTTTCAGTAGTTACTATATTATTTAGGGTATCAGTTTGGTTGTTGTGACAATAAGACATCTTCAAAAAGTGGCTTTCATATGATACATGTTTTTTTTTTCCCAGATATAAAAGTGTAGATAGACATTGGTGGCTTCTTTGCGTGGCCCCACAGTCATCTGGTACCAGAATTCTTCTGTTTTCTTGCTCTGTTATGGACAATAAGAGATTTCCATTTTGTAGTTCAAAATGGCTGCCTTAACTCCAGTCATCACATCTACCTTCCAACCAGGAATAAGCAGGTCCAGAGCTGTAGGTCATACCTTTTGTTTCTTAAGAATCTACACAGAAGTTGAACATATCAAATCTATTGACCAGGACTTAATAATATGGCCATGTCTACTTTCCTGGGACACTGGGTCTTTATTCAGGTGGATAGTACCAAGCTAAATGTCCTATTATGGTGGCACAAAGGGAGAACAGAGAGGTGACAGCTATTAGTTTCTGCGATGTTAAACATAAGATTCAGCAAGATGTTGAACGTTGTGTGCATGTGACTTTTCTTGTAAAATATTCCTTGTAAGTTTAAATTGCTCTGACTGCTTCATTTGGAAATACCTACTAAAATGTAAGGTGTGGGCTGGGGAGATTGTACAGTGGTAGAGAGCTTACTTAATACCAGGCCCTGGGGTTGATTACAGCACTGAACAAAACAGTTAAACTGACCTATTAATTCCATTTTCTATCTTCTCTCTGGAAAAACACATCAAATAGCCTACACGGAGCATCTGTAAGATGTTTACTGTAGTGTTATCTACAGAGAAATGGAAACAAGATGAATGCCAATCAAAGGACAATGACCAAATGACGTGGTAGACCCATATCTTGGAGTCCTTAAGAAGAAGAATCTATATGTATGGGAAACATAATCTGTAGAATGTCATGAATGGTATGACTGTTTATCTACTGAACATGAACATATACCACATGCTCCTAAATAATCAGAGCCCTATCTGAAAAAGTACTTTATTAAAAATATTTGGCTGGGTGTGGCACACTCCTGTAAACCCAGCACTCAGGGAGGCTGAGGCAGGAAGATCAAAAGTTTCAGACCAGCCCAGGCAATACCTTGTCTCACAATAAAAAATAAAAAGGGCTGGGATATAGCTCATTGCAGGCCCTAAGTTCAAACCCCTGTAACACACTTGCATGTGCACGTGAGCATGTGCACGCACACACACACACACACACAATAAAAAGGTTTATATTTTTAAAAAGAAAAAATATATATTATATGATATATATGTATTTCAAAAGAAAATATAGAGTCCACCAAAAATGTATACACACCAGGAAAAGGAAAACTTGTATACATATTTTAATGCTAAGTTTATTGAGACATCATGAGATGAATACACATTTCTTTTGGCTTCTACAGTTACAAGAGGTGCTCAGCGTGGTGGCCATTCACTTCCGGACATGGTGAACTGCTGCTTGGGTAACCGTGGTCATTGGGATTGCTGCACTGTCATTTTCAGTTTCTTCTCTAAAGGCCAGAAGTATAGTGGGTTTTCTGTGATATACTACAACCTCTAGAGTCCCTCATATGAGGCTGACACCATCTGTTGGAAAAAACAACGTACTAGTTTTCTTTTCCTGAGTGTGCATACATTTTTTGGGGGGGGCTTCTGTATATATTCCACATACGGTGGTACCTCGATTCATGAACTTAATTTCTTTTACGATTTTGGAAAAGATGGCCACATTCATGTTGGTGTGGGAAAGACGGCCAGGGCCATGTTTGTTCTCTGATGCAGAGTTTGTAGACAAAGACAAAATTTTTTCAAGTGCTTTTGTTTGTGAATCAAGGCACCAGGCTACAGTGTGAGCAGTGGATGTTACTGTTTAGCGTACTGCTGAGATACCACCGATTTTGCGAATGGCCCTCACTTGGAATACTGTGACAGCGTCTCCAGATTCGATCCCGGTTACTACACATCTTTGGTGAGAATACTACAGAAGTGATGCCGAGTCACTTTTGTGGTACATGGTTTCAATTTGTTCATTAATGGTGACGTTAACTCTGATACTTAATTAAGTTGTTGCCTGCCGGCTTCTCCACTATCAAGTAGCTCTCTTTCCTTTGTAGTTAATAAGTCTTTGTGGGGAAATACTTTAAGGTTAGGTTGATATCCCCTGGTCCCCATCAAACTTCCAATTAATTCATTAGCTCATTACTATTCTTTTGCTCAGTGAGTGTCTTAGTCGCTTTCTTTGTTGCTGGGATACAGTACCCAACACCTGCAACTTAAGAGAGCAAAGGTTGATTTTGGCTCTCAGTTTGTAGAGGTTTCAGTGAATACTTGGCTGGCTCCAAGGCAGGGTGGCACGGCATGGGGCATCACGAGGGGGACTGACCATAGAGAGGCAGGCAGGAAGAAGAGTGGAAGGGCAGAATGGAGAAGAAACCCTCCCAGGCCACGGCCCCAGTGACCCACCTCTGCTGACCAGGTTCCACCTCCTAAGAGCAAGTCAGCTAGATGCTCATCACCGGACTAATCCACTGGTAACCAAAGCCCCACCTATGAGCACGTGAGGCTCTAGGGGGACACCTAGCTATAAATCACATCAATGGCTATCATCCATCACTATCTCATTTATTTTGACAGCCACAGTGTCCCAGAGGTGGTCAGCGAGCCTCTTCCTGCTGGCTTCTCTATCCCCTTAATGCTTCTCCTCGTTCTTTGGGCACTTACTTCCTCTCTGGCTGCGCAAGATACTCAGCTTGGTCTCCTACTTCTCTTGCCCTGGGCCTAGAATCGGTCATTTCCCAAAAGTGTTTGTGTAAAATAATTTTCAGACGCCAAGTTCTAGGCCCTGAGTGAGTCTGTTGCTACGGTGATGTTGCTGCCCTTGGGGTGGACAGAGCTGTGTGTACATGATACACAGACATGTGCACACACAGACACACAGATGTGTGTACACACACACACAACAACATTTGTACTTCTTTAGCTGTCCATATATGTTGAAAGCCATGTGTTTATTCCAAGACTGTCTATAGAATGTAGAGGGTCCAGTGCAAAAGGAAAACATGGGGCATCTTGTTCAAAAGGCAGAAATGGACCAGGTTAAAGATACTGCACTCCAATGTTCCCCTGTCTTCTACAAGCTCTCTTGGCCTGTCCTGGTGTTTTACAATTGCTGTTTAGTGCTGTGCGTGGAGGAAACTTTTGGCAGAATCCAGACTCTGAGGAGGCAGAGCCCAACCCTGCAACTCAGAGCAAGTGCAGACCACCTTCTGGGCATCTGTCTCCTGCCACTTGCTAGACTAATGTTCAGGCCCCTGCCAAGGAGGAGACTTGAGGCCAGGCATCTTCCCTGCCCCAGGCCACCCTCTAACCATAGGGAGACAAGCAGTGCACCCAGATGTGCCCGGTACCTGAATCAGAGGCGGGTGCCATGAGCAGAGGATGACAGTGTTCATGGAGATGGGGACAGGGAGACCGGAAGAACCTGAGCCTCTGTGGTGGAGGGAAGGTGGCTGAGACCCATCCCAGGGAGGCAGGGAGATGGCGGGACATGGGATGGCTCTCAGCCAACATCCCACGTCCCTGAGCCTGCTCCACTGTCCCCTCAGACTTGACTTAAAAAATGCAATTTCCAAGGTAACGTTTTTAAGAATTTCTGAACAGTGGTTGCCCAGCATCAGAGCATAAGCACAGGGTCACACACCAGCGAGGCTGGCCCTAGCTTCTACCCATAGTCCAATACCAACCCCACACACAGGCTCTTTTTGCTTTCTTTCTC